GAACCACGTGTTCAAGGTTAGGGCACTTGCTAAGGGCATGCACCTGCCTCTCGAACTTCTCGGTGTCGGCGGGCCAAGAAAGGTTCCCTCCGAAGTCGACGTTGGTTAGCTTCGGCCCATACTTGATGAAGAAGGGGTTGAAGCTGTTCTTCGTCTCATCTTTGAGGCTCATTTCCGGCCGGAAGCGCAGAGACTTCAGCTTGGGCATATTCCACCAATATGGGACGTGAAAATATTTATCTGCAGGTGTCGACCAGAAGGTTATGGTCTCCAAGCGAGGGAAGAGTAGCGGGTAAATCTCCACGCGCCGTCTTTGCGTCCGCGTCGGGAAGGGCCCAGAGCCGAACGACCCGCCCGTCGTCGTTGACTACAAGACCCGAGCCATCAGGGGATAGACGGATGGCGCGATACCAAGTATCTGTACTGAGGATGACGAGACAAGCAGCCGTTTCATCGTCCCAAAGACGTACGGTATTGTCTTCGGAGGAGGAAATGAGAACACTCCCCTCAGGAGTAAAGGCAACCGACCATGCTGACTTCGTATGTCCCGCGAACGATTGGAGCGATGAGCCGTCCTCAGATTTCCACACCAAGATACGACCACCTTCACTCCCCGACGCGATACGTATTCCGTCAGGAGAGAAAGCCACTGAAGAAGCGGTCGTGTAATGTCCTCTACACGTCGCCAACGACTGCCCGGTGGAAGCGCCCCAAACGATGACAGTTTTGTCGGCGGAGCTTGTTGCGATGCGTCTGCTATCAAGGGAGAAAGCAACGCAGTAGATTGCGCCCTCGTGCCCCACGAATTCACGAACGAGTTTGCCCGTCGCAACGTCCTACAGGCGAGCGGAGGTGTCTGGAGAGTTCATTGGGGTGTCTTTGTCTTTCGTGCCAGGGAGGATGGATCCAGTAACGACGTATCGGCTATCATGCGAGAACATCATGGATGAGGACTGGCCACCGAAGCAGTGCGGCATGTAGCCTAGAACGCAGGTCCACATAAGTCCGTCTTCAGGACGAGGGTGCCCTTTTCTCTCGTTGGTGGCCCAGTCCGGAAATAGCACACTGTTGTGACAGGTACCTGCGAATTCGGCGCGCAGCGATCCTGTAGCAGTGTCCCACAGCGCCACTTTGCCATGATCCACCGAGGCTGCGAGGATTGCTGAATCGTCTGGCGAGAACGCCGTGCAGAGAATGTCTGCATCTATATCCAGAGCCTCGCAGGCCCAATCCCACGTATCCGTTTTCTCCACTTCGACCGTCCAGTTGTTGATTCCTGATAGTGCGCGGGCCCCATGGTGAGAGAACACGGTAGAGTAGTTATCTAGAGTGTTCGCCCCCAGGTCGGAGTACCAGCTCGAATTTCTGGGCTGCGCCACATTCATGGCGTACTTCGCCACGTCCCATAACCGGACAGTACCGTCCCGGGAGCCAGATGCGACGCGAGTTCCATCTCGGTTGTACGTGACGCAGGTAACAAGCTCAGTGTGACCAGCGAATATCCGCCGAAGCTCACCACGAGCAAGGTCTAGGACGAGGACCGTGTGGCTGTGAGACCCGCATGCGAACTGGTCTCCTGCCGCGGGAAAGCCGATACCATTGACGCTCAGGTAGGGCCAGCCTGACGACTTGAGTTTGCGAAGACATTTTGCGGTCTTAACATCCCACGCGGCAAGCTGGCCATCGAATCCGGAACTGGGAGCAGTCAGAACCTGGGAGCTGTCTGGGGAGAAAGCGACAGCATATCTGGACGCGCCCTTCGGCTTCAAGATACGATAAGCGTGCGGAGCCTCCAAGCTCCACAGATAAATGACATCCGATGAGCTTGACGCCATCCAAAGGCCATCTGGGGATATAGCAACGGAGGTGATCGCCGCCTGGTGCTCTGTCAGGGTAGTCAAACAAGAACCTGTGACAGCATCCCAGATCTTAAGGGAGTGATCCGCGGAGCCAGATATGATACGCCCACCGTCGGGAGTGAAGGCAGTATAGAAAACGGGACTCATGCTCTCTGTCAAGGTGCGGACAAGGATGCCAGACACGACGTCCCAGATCTTGACCGTACCATCGTCGGCAGCAGAAACAATGTGAGTCCCGTCTAGGGGAATATTTGACAGAGCGAACGGCGCCCGAATGACCGGATAAAACCAAAAGCAAGGTGCAAGTGAGTGCGTCCCAGAGTCGGATCTTGGTATCTTCTCCTGACGAGACAATTGTCTTGCCATCAGGCGAAAAGTCAACAGCGATGACATACGTGCCCCCATGTGCGATGACCGTGCCCAGGCAGGCGTTCCACAATGCCGTCCGGCCTTCGAAAACCCCGATGGAGCTCCCCTCGACACACTCCCCCGCATACACCTCCGCAAGCGTGGTTTGTCCCGGGATGAACGACAGAACCGAGTAGTACAGCTGCAAGGCCGAACCACTGATAGCGGGAAAGTAGCCGACGATGAGCCGTTCGCAATCGTTCAAGAGGAGCGCAATCTGCCAAGTCCGTTCATCGTCAAGGTCCTACAGATATGGCATATAAGAGTGCGTTCTGTAAGAGCGGATGGACGTTGCTCACCACAAGCCTGCGCTGAGACTCATTGAGAGCAGAGATAGCATCTCTCAACAGCCCGAGAAGACTGCAGGCTTCGACCCAGTACAGTAGTCGCTTTTCTGTAAACTCCAGAAGCCCGTCTATGATTTCGTCCGAAAGCTCCCCGTTCAAAAGATGAGTGGTCCAGTGCCGACACGCATACCTCAAGTGAGGAGGGATCGCTTTTTCCAAGCGACTCGACAGATCAGGGATCTCGTTGTTGAGTGGATCTCGTTGTTGAGTAGGGAAGGGTCTCGAATGTCGCACAAATCTCGTTTGAGCTCGTTAAAAGCTTCGAGACATCCGTGGAGCAACAGCGTGTGCTGTCGCTGTGAATTAGTGACGAATGAGCGGCTTGTGCAACGGTCGGGGTCCAGTAGGAACTCGGCAAAGGTCGGGTGGATGATGCGGATACTTGATGCAGATTCTTCGAGCTCCGGGACGACGAGAATGGAATGAAGACCCATGAGTGAGTTATGAACTGCACCAGACGAAAGTCCGACCAGATGAGCAAGACCGGAAAGAGGAAGCGGATCCTTAATAACTACGACGGAGCCTAGGACAGATTTTACACGTCCTGAGAGGCCCTTCGACACGTCGAGAATGCGGTGTTGAGCACTTGAAGGTACAAGTGGTCGAGCAATCGGTGGGAGCCGCGAGACACGGCGGCGGACGTAAGTATCTTGAGCTGCCCCTCAGGGTCGTTGTAGTTCCGATCTTCGATGAACTTGACGACGGTCGCTGCGAAGATGAACACACCATTCGCCATCTGACTCAATATTTTGACGTCTGCTTTGTCGGGCCAGGACTCCGCCAGCTTGAAGCACCTCGCGGTATCCAACAGGGATGCCGTAAAGTAGCATTCGATATCGGTGGTGGCAGACTCCAATGCGACTTCGTGCAGGAGAAGCTTGTTGAAGACATCACGATAGCCAGGAGTATCAAAGCTAGTGACGATATGCTGCTCGGGGCGGCTGGTAAGGAAAAACCGGAGTGGGGGGAGATCTTGTGCGTGCTTCAGCAGAGTCGATAGGACTGCGGATGTGATCTGGGGATCTCGACATTCGTCGAGTGCATCAATTACCACAACGCATGGAGGAAAGGCATCACGGAGCTGTGTAAGAGGCTTCAGTATCAGTTCCTCAAACTGGTGAGAGACGCTAGAGTAAACTAGAAGGGGGTCCTTCTGAAGTATCTCTGCAACCAGGTCCCGGTGGGGTCTGTAGAACAATCCGAGCTGGTACGCGATTGTCGTGAAGATCATTGTCGGGCTGCTGCAGTCGGTATCCGAGCGAGAACAGAAGAAGCTTGCGCCTAGGATGCCCTGCGCGTGACAGCGTTCTGCGATAGTATATGCAATCGTTGTCTTGCCGGCACCAGCAAAGCCATTTAGCCAGTAAACATTTCTTCGATCGTGAATGGTGTTTACAGCAGCAGCATCTGCGTGGCCCGTTGCCTGTCGACCGACTGCCCAGGTAGAGACACTCTCCAAAGTGTCGGTACGCGTCCCTTCGAGGCAAGCTGTGCGCTCCGGGCGACATTCGAATCGTGCCGAGACCGCATAGGGTGGTACGGAGTTACCTGCCACAAAGAATTAGGACGACAGTATTGCATATTCTGCCTACACGTACCCTCAGGACGGGAGAGCATTCGCAGACGCTAGCAATGACTAAAAGTCAGTTAGCGGCATGCACAGTCGCCGAAGGATACTCACTTGAATGTCGTCTTGGATAACATCAAGCTTCTTCTCGACACGCTGGGAACTCTCTTTCGAGAAGCGCGCATGGTCCTGTTCATCCAGAATCAGCATATGCAGGCTCAAACTAAAACCTGTCTGCCACGCACATCCAGAGCAAACTCGATAGCCAGGGTACCCTCCACCTGTTACCCGGCGCCAAATGTCAGAGGTAAAGATGACTAGTATATCGACAGTTCGTACCATGAAACTTTGTATTGACCAGGACAACTTCTGCACAAAGCTAGTGATCTTCCCTGCTTCCTCATCGGCCTTCAATACTCTCAGCAGCTTGTTGCGGGACTTGAGATCTACAGCCTCGTCGTTGATTGCCTTCCAGGAGCTGTACGATATGAGCAACCCAAATATGCGCTAGCAACGGCATGCTCACGATAACAATCGGTCTACTCTCGCCTGCATTGGAGAGGATATATTTGATCCATGTAACTCTGTGCATTCCTTCACCATTGCGGTCAAGTCTCCGACCTTCTTCGCCAAATCGTCGATGTCTTCGGTATTCCCATGCGATTTCTGTCTTGAGCGTGAGCACCTCCGCGGGACTGGTACACAGCCGCACACGATACGCACCTAGATCATCGCAAGCACGGTCGACAAGCCAGTCAAACCCTTCTGCAAGCCAGGCACGCCGAGGTCCCCGGCGGCGTCGTTTAAAACACCCAAGGCTTGCTGCAGGCCGCCGATGGCGGAGTAGGCAGCATCCTTGGCCTCGCTGCCGCGTAACTTTTCCTTGATTCTACGCATGGACACTACTGTCAGCGAGAGTGTTGGTAGTGGAGAGAAGAGACAGGGTTTACATCCTGCGAGCCTGGGTTGGGCTGTGCTCCCGCTGGGACGCTGCGATCAAGAGACTAATAATTGCGGGAAGTCACGGCATGATGACCCTGTGATAACTACCCGTCGCGCTGAGTCTAGGTCGTATCAGGCGCATCGAGAGTAGCTATCGCCGTTCTGAAGCCTCACGGTTTGCTATGCATCAATGATCCGCTGTCGTCAACTTGCGAGTTGGCTTCAATCACTGAACCACTGGCAAGCCACAGCCATCCAAAACAGAGCACGCTGTGAGCTGAAAAAATATCATATCAGGTATATATAAATACCTACAGCGACACTCACTTGAGGCTTAGAGTATAGGTCTCTTCTGGACTGCAAAACCCTGATGCGGTTGAAGAAGAATTCGCCCAAGCGCCGGAGAGAGGACTCCGGATACTTCGGAACATCAGACGCCCATAGCTCACTCAGAAGGCGAGGATGCACAGTAGATCTAGACTGGATTGCGCAAAATCGAATGTACATGCAGACCGAACGCCTCAATGAGCTGATTCTAACCACTTATGCCTCAGCAGCCCGTGGCATGTTGCCCTCTCGGCTGGATCGAGGGCGAATATTCGAAGCAAAAAGTCCGTGAGAAGGGGTCCGTCCGGCAGACCCGTGCCCTTGATGATCTCTCCCAGTAGAAAGCGTTCCCTAAAATACATCTTCGGAGAGCCTGTACAAGGGGTGGTCAAAAAGAACCAGAATAAAGGGGAGGACACTACGTGCTCACCATCTTCGTTGAAAAAACACTCGGAATACAGCCCGCGCTGGACGAGCTTGCGAGGATAGTCACCAAACATCACCATGTGCAAGTTGGGGATCGACAGGTCTTCGGTGTTCGGCTCGATGAGCGACTTGCCCGTCATGAGCTCGAAGACCTGCAATGCCGCTGTCAAAGCTCGATACAGGGTAATGCTCAGCGGGAATAACGTACGATGCATCCCACGCTCCAAATGTCGGCGGGCTTTCCCCAACCTGCGCCAACGCAAACCTCAGGTGCGCGGAGAGCTGAGCTTTGTATGAGTTCCTCAGCGCATTCGCGGGCCTTGTCGACCCAGCATGCTTTGGGAAGGTGAGTAAACAGCTTCGTGAATGATAACATGAAAGACTCCACTCACATACGCCCACGTCCCCAATCTTCGCTGTGACATGGCTCCAGGTGTCGTAGGAGTCAAGGTGTCCCTCGGGCAGGCGGTATCGGATCGGCGAAGAGCGGTAGCGCGTAACCTCGCTGCCGTCGGAAAGAGTGTCGACAGATTTGAGACGCTCGCCTTTGTCGACGGCTAATGCTAGAATGTCTTCGTCCGACATAGCGAACATAATATTGTCATTCTTGAGGTCTGAATATGCGTACGTACTGAATGAGCAGACGGTCCCACGGACGTGAGAGAACGGACGAACCCGTATGGACGATATTGCAAATGTTGTGCAGATATTCCAGACCTAGAAGCACCTGGCGCGTGACGTGCTTGACGAGATGTACGGGCAGCCTCCGCTTCTTCCACCGTGCTGAGAACGACAGCAGGTTCTCCGATAGAGGTTCTGTTACGAGACAGAGGTGGGCCTCGGATGAAGGAGGGTGATGAAAGTGGTCTATGAGCTTGGTGACGTGTTGATACCCAGCATGCAGCGGCTGCTGGCTGCGCATACATTTCAGTAATTCGAGCTCATGCATTCTCGGATCGCGCGTCGCTGACTCTGCGGTTCAGCACGCCATCAGCAACAGCTGCGAAGACGATTTCGTTAAAGGTAAAGGCACCTGTCATGACTTTCATAGCAGCAAGGCACTTGTCCCTGAAATCGCAACATAAGCGAGCTGACACCAAGCTCTGGAAGCCCACATACGTCTCCCTCAGCACGAGCCAGACACTGGAGTAATTACCCCAGCCCAACTTACGGAGCACGCGGTACTCGCCTAGATGCTCTCCAAGAGAGATATGTAGGTATCCGCGTTCCTTGTAAGTGTCGAGAGGCTCCTCTACGTCTTGCCAGCTCAGTGTCGCGTGAGCTTGGGCTTTTGTGGATGACGCTCGCCGACAAAACTCCTGCCGGCCACCCCGACATCGAGCGAGAGATAGAAACAGAGGTGGTCTGGAGAACGGCCTTAGCATGCAAACGAAGAGAGGGAGCCTTCACAGCTGTAGTTTGGCTCAACGTTCGCCGGTCGAGATATGGTCGTGTGCTTGTGGAGCAACTTCGAGCTGCCGGTCTAGATCTGATAGCATGAGCGCCGAGGTGTGATGTAAGAGTGGATGCAGAGGCACCGCAGTATGTCCTAGACACATTCGGCTGCTTGCGCTCCTATGCACGCGAGGAGTGGTGGCGGTGTGGGCAAAGTGTATCTACAAAATTTTGATAGTCATTGATAAGGGCGCCAATCAGCTGTGGCGCTAAACCTAACCCAAACACTCCGGCGAGAATGCGTTGCGCGTCGCACACAACATCAACTCGAGCAGTATATACAAAATCGACCACTTTTGGTTCGGCTAATCAGCAATCGTGGAGCCTGACCAATAATTACCAGCTTGTCGAAGCTGTGGACCTAGTCACAAGCCGGTCATCTCATTCTCCCTTGATTCCTGATTATATCACGTCGATACCTCTCTATATTTTAAACACCAATGATAGCTATTCTCATAAACAGAAGCTGCAGTCTTCCAAAACAGTGAAAAGGGAGAAACTTTTGTGCAAATCGTACGATGCAAAGCGATCCACGCGTTCGTGGCCGAACCAAATACTTCCTTTACGTGAAGCGAACCTTCTCACCAGGTCGACCCTGGGACAGCAGAATAACAGCCTTTCCATCGAAGCCAAGTTAGCTTTCGTCTCACATTGCAGCACATGTATGCGACTACTCACGTATTTACCGCTGATCTTCCAGCCATCCTCGTTCTGGTCCAGCTTGGCAGCGACGTCGTCGCCGTTAGGGCCGAGACCAACAACGACATCGCTCTTGATGGTACGAATGGAGCAGACGGGAGGAGCGCCCGCCGCAGAGGCCATGGATCCGATGGCTTGGTCAAACGGTGTGGGGGCGGGGGCGGCGCAGTCGTACGTCAACTGCCACCGCTCCCGATCAGCTGAATTTCTAACGGGATAGCCGATGACACAAACCTTGCGGTGGTTTAGGTCACCCTTGAAAATGACCAGGTCGGACTTGCTCAGGTGGAGGAACAGATCAGGAGCCTCGTTGAGCAGATCCCAGAAAGTGTATCCGGTACACCAGAAAGGATGCTGCTCGTAAACCCAGATACCCTGGCGCTCATATTCCTACAGTGACTCGTTCATTGATAATGCGGCCGTAGCCCAAGCAATAACGCCCACCTTCCAGCGCTGACCCATCTTCCTGAGGCTCTCACGCTCGATCTCCGAAGCCTCGGGGAAGAGGTAGCCATAGACCATCGTGTTCAGCAGCCACTCCCAATCCTTCTTGGTGACATCACTGACGAACCAAGGGTAACGCTTTCCGTGGAAGCGGATTTGGGAGGCAAAACCGAGCTGCACGAGGAAGTCCGCTACTCGAGTGTCAGCCGAGCTTTTCCTCACAGTGTAAAGTGCAAGGGCTTACCGTAAACACAGTCGCAATACAGCTCAAACCCGGCATTATCAAGAACAAAATCAACGCGTCCGCCTTTGCGCTGCTCCATAGTCGCGTAAGACTCGCCACTTTCAGGGTCAACTGTACGAGTCTTGTCCTTCATCTTTTTGACGAGATCCCAGAGCTGCTCGACGTGATTCCCGAGAATGTTCTTCTCGGTCTCAGCGAGGTGGTCGCCACCGGTACTTTGCAGGCTCTTTATTTGTTCCTCCGTCATATTAATCAAGAGCGAGAGGTCGGTCGAATTGCCCCAAAGGCAAACTGGAGAAATCTCAGGTGAGCTGTGACATTGCAGCTGAAGAAAGCGCACGTACTTTGAGTCAACTCGTGAAAAACGAGCTTTTCGGCTTCCAACATCTCGCTCTGAGACATCGGCTTCTTGGTCAAGTCATGCTGGAACGGCTCAGCGAAACGCATCGATAACTCAAAGACGGCATCACTCGAACGAGAAAAGGTATCACACTGCGCATCACAATGAATACACTAGTACCAGAAGAGAACATGAGGGAATGTGCTCTACCTTCTGCCTGAAGAAAACATCGTAGTCCGCCCAGTGCTTGCTGAGAGTGAAGCATTCGCGAAGACGGCGATACTTGTACGCTTCAGCGAATAACCAAGTGGCGTTCATGAAGTCCTTGCCTAAGCGAATATATGCGTCAATGAAGCGATTTAATGCCAAATCTGGCGCATATGTGCGGCTCAGTATCGAGTACGACTCACCTAAGAAGTACTTGGCAACTTCCTTGTTCCATAAGGCGACGTCGGCCTCACCGTCGTCTTTGATGGGACGCAACATACCGTTACCTTCGAGCTCGGCCTTGAGCTGCTCCATGCGTTTAACGCATTCCAGGAGGTCCTTGATGAGGTCCTCCGAGGACAAGGCGTTCACCGTGAGGAGAGCGTCCTGGATTGCCTTCGACAAAATCGTCGGCAGTCTGACACCCATCGTCGCGTTCGCGAACGAGTAGGTGTGGTAGCCGCGGAATGCAGGCCATGGCGGGTTGTTCGGGTCAACAGAGCCAGGTGTCCTCGGAAACGACGGCTTGACGTCGGTCCTGTCGGGCAGGTGCGAGAGATGTAACGCCTTCTTCTCAAGTGTGGGCGACTTCACGCCGGGGGCGCTCGACTGAGAGAAGGAACGAAGGATGTCACCCGACATGCCGTATGTATGCGGGGTTTTGGTGGTGGGTGAACCAGTGGATACAATGAGAGGGACAAAGTATATGCTGTTCGGTGACTGTAAACGCGACATCAGGGGTTTGCATGTGCCCGAAATGCCACGAAGTAGTCAGCACTCGGTCTGGAGCCAGACGAGCTCAAGAGGAGCTTGTGTCGCTGTCGTCACCGGCATGATATCCTCGCGTTGCCCTCTGCGTTACAGCGAGAAAATCCACCAACGAAAATAGCAGAGAAAGAGACGAAGCAGGGGCCCGACGGCAGGATAGACGGAGACTTGCGACAAGCAAATGAGAGGTCGACACTCACCTTATTATCCGGTGCTGCTATCTAACGATGAGGACACGAGGTAGCGGATGGAAGGAAAGCCTGAAAGAAACGGGGGCACAGTTAACGTGTTTCTCCAGACTCCTTTCCAGCGAACGCCCGCCAACATTAGCTCGTCTATCGCGCAGGACATTTCGCTCTCCGCCGTGTTTCTCTCGCCCAGTCCAGTCTGAAGTGGCACAGAAGTCGTCCAAACATGGGCATCGTCAAGAGCTAAGCACGAAGTTTGACATCGAGATGTGCGGGGAACGATGTCAGCTGCCTATTCGGGGAGAACGCACGACGTCATCGCCACCCGACGCCCTCCTCCCGTGCAGGCCAAGGCGCCGCTCGTTGGGAGAGAAACATACGCATGGCAACCACGCTCGCGAAATCAGAGAACTACCCAAAGTCGTGGGTCCTCGGATTGCCGAAATGGCACGATCCACCAGCGGCAGGAATATCCAAAAGTCTCCGGTTCCAATCAAACACTAGAGATCCAGTAACAGCTAAGTCCAGTAGAATGTGTCACAATACTGTGCCTATATCGATAGCTTGGCGCAGTAGAAGTCAGACAGGTGTGGTTAAACGAGCTAGCCACAAAAGAGCTCACTGACGGCCGCTATTTACCCCACGGCGTAGGAGTCTCTTGTGCATGCCCACGACGCGCCATTTGCGCACCGATGCCTATAGTGTCTTCCAGCAGCTCCTGTCCCAGCATCCTCAGCTGCGGGTTCTCGTCCTCCTGCGCCGCTCTCTGCGCCGCCTCCTGCGCCAGGCGCTGTGCAGGCGGGACACCGAAGAGCGTCTCCTCCTCGGTTGACTCCTGGTTATACGCCGGGTCGTCGAACGAATCGTCAAAGCCATCGTCATCCACGTCGCCCACCGGCATGTGGTGCGCCGGTGCCGCGTACTGCATGCCCCCGACGCCGTCGTCGTCCTCGTCGCTTGACTCGCCCGACGAAAACGAGTCGTCCGCCTGGGGGTATTGCGCGCCCTGGAAAAACTGGTCTGTCGGGTTGTCCCCAGGGCCGTCTTCGTAGTCCAGTGAATCCGACGAACTGTCATTGTCCGGATGCACGAGCTCGTCATCCACTAACCGCCGATCGAAGTGGAACACGGGTGGGTGCGGTGTTTCTTCTGGCTCTGTTGACGCCGACGAATACACCGCCTGCGTAGAGCTTGGCCGCGCATACTGGTTGCCTGATGGCACGGATGGTGCAGAGCTTGAGACGGATGAGATGTCTTCCCTCCTGGCTCTTTCAGATGGTCTGTAGTCGAAGCCTTGAAGCCCGACGCGCCGCATCATGCTCTCGAGACTCGCATCGGCGATGCTGCTGCTGATCTCGGATGCCGGAGGATACGGATTCCTGCTGTACCGGTTGAGCGACGGCGGTGTCGGTACACTCATGAGGCTGGACTCTGTCGTTCCCGGTGCACCAGGCTTGTATGCGCTATAGTCCGACGCCCCAGGCTTCGAGCTACTGCCGCCTGGCACACCCAGACGCTTCTCAACATCAAGTAACTTCTTCATGATGCTCTCCGCAGCCTGTTTCCGTGGCGTCTTGCCCAGCTTGGGTGCCGCTCCTTTAGGCAGCTGCGCGAACGCCATCGTAACAGGAGGCGACATGTTGATCGTCGCATCGAGGTCGTCGTCCAGGTCGAGGTTCGGATCCGGCCCGGGCGTGGTCGACCGCTTCGTGGTAGAAGGTCCTGCGAAACGCGCTCTCCCCGGAGTTTTGTGCCGCGGCGTGGCGACACTCGGATCCTTGAGATTGACGACACCTTTCCAATCCGAAGGTTTGGTGTCCAATGGCAGGTATGGGTTCATCGCCTTGAGAATTGGCGTCCTAGACTTGGATTTCAAAGGAGATGTCGCGGCACGCGTGATATTGGAAGGGCCGTCGACGTTTCGCCTGAGGACGTCCCGGAGGAGAGGTTCCGGACCCTCTTTCGCTTTGCCTTTGCCTTTGTCTGACTGCGCGACGCTGATGTCCCGCCGCGACCGTTGAGAGCGATCTTCGAGTGTCGGTCGATGTATCTGTCGCTGCGTGACGTCCTGCGAATCGTCATATCGCGAGTCTTGGTGCATTGCCGAAGAAGACGCGACTGAGACGTCTTCTTCACGCGAGAGGCTGCGCAGGTCCCGGTCCAGGCGGACCAGAGGCGACTCAAGTGAAGTCGACCAGGGTGGGGTTGGCTCATCTTGACTAAGAAATTGGTCGTAATGTGATTTGTGCCGAGATGTCGCAGGTGTGGAGGACACGGCAGCCTGGTTGGGCATGAAAGAGACTTCGGACGAGCCCGTTTTGTCTAAACGGAACGACTGCACGGTGACATCCGCTTGTTCTTCAGTTTGCTCTTCATTCCTTGACTGTTCTGGGGCTGCCTCAGATTCTGTTTCCTGTTCTGTTTGCGTGTTCTCAGGAGTGTATTCTTCGTATGTCGGTACGCGTATCTGCGCCGCTTGCTCAAAGAACGTCGTCCAAAACTGGCGTATACGCACTTAAACTATGCATTAGTTCTTGATAAACGCGTTTGCGCACCTTCGCTGCCTCCCTCACCGGCTCTGTCCCCACTGCGTACCGCTTCACCGCAGGCAGTATCCTATTCGCCATCACCTGTTGTATCTTCGAGAAGTTTGCGTCCACGTTCTACGCGTAATATCACGCATTCAACAGGAGAGCGATACAAGGGGCGGAAAGTGCGCCCGCACCTGAAGTTTGATGGTGATGAGTTGCTCGATTTGCTCGATCTGGTCATTCACGGGCGCGGTCGTGTCAAGACTTGGCACGACAATTGTGCTAGGGTCCTCTGACGGCTCCCATCGAGGTGTATTTGGTTCGACGGGCTTCAATGGCGGAGTCATGGTGGTATGAGGACGAGAACGGTGGTAAGAGACAGAGTGGGCGCGCGCCGCGATCTTGAACTTTAACGTTAAATGCTTGCGCCACAAAGTCTGGGGCTTCACGTACTGTAACTTACAAATACTAGGTACACCCCGCAAATAACTTTACATATAACGTGTCCATCCTAGACTACATGCTCTACTCACGAACTTTCAGGAAAAACTTCCATAAACAGCTCAAGACCCAGGTCTTTGGAAGCCACTCAAATATCTTCCAGACATTGACATCGCCCCCAATCATGATGGAGCGGGGAGGCCTAGGAGCCAGAGTCGCGGCCACCGTCCGCCTTGCGAACTCGTAAGCGGGCATAGAGCACGGTCTTTGACTGACAAGGATACGGCTCGTAACTTGTGGCTTGTATAACTTGTACAAGCCCTCATCCGACACCGCGGTTGAACGAGATGCTACAGCGTTGTCCGCAATGTGCGATTTCACTGAGCCGGGAATGACCAACACGACGTTTATGTCGAACGGCTTGCATTCCATCCAGAGTACGTGCGTAATTTGGTGCAGGGCTGCCTTGCTCCCAGCGTAAATACCGTTCCACGGTGTCGGACTGTCCAAGACAAATGGTGAACCCAGGCTTCTCATCGGGAGCAAGCGCAAGAAAGACATACGTCTCGCCGACAATCGAACCCACATTAACGATAGTTCCAGACCTGCATGACGTCATATGGGGAAAGACGGCTTTGCAGACACGGAGAACTGCAAAAAAGTTGGTGTCGAACGTGTGCTGCACAGACTTCAAGGGGACGTCTAGGACCTCACCTATAAACCGCCCCTACGTGAGGAACACTGCAAGCAGGGTAGATTCCCTATCTCCAGGAACCAAGAGGATACATACCTGGACAATTGGCCCCTGCGTTATTGACGACCATATCTATGCGGCCTTCTTTTTCTATGACCGTCCTGATCACGCTTTGAACGTTTTCGTCGCTCGTCACGTCGAGTGCGAGCTTCTCTATCCCTGGCTGGCTGAAGCCCTCCAAGGCTTCTGGTCTGCGAGCCGTGGCATACACCTTGCAGCCGCGGCGCGCGTACTCCTCGCAGCTATCTTCGCTGAGCCTGTCTCTTGCTAATAGTATCGTCCAGGCCACTCACAGAGCAAATCCAATGCCGCCTTTCGAGCAACCAGTGACGATTATGGCCTTTTGCCGGGTATTGGACATGATGGTGAAGGAAGCACAGTAGTTCGGCGACGTTGGGTGAAGCTATCACTTAGTCAATCACCGTTCACCTTTGAATAAGTAGTGCTGCATTATCAGTAAATGCCGGTGGAGACGGATCAGTTCAACAGTAAGGCCCTGTTCAGTAACACTCGAGTTTCCAAACTCGCGCGGGTTGATGAACTCAGACCCAAGCGCTTATGTGACTTTGACGTGATCGTTTCGTGACCGTGTGTGACAACCGTGAAGCCTTTGCCTTGCTGCGTCGCACAATTGGGCGACAGCACCTTCGTCGCACTATTCCTTTTTATATGACCTGCTGAACTGCTGCTACTACCCTCAGTCAGCTTCTGGGGGGCCTACAAAATGTTCTCAATGGGTATTTGCTGAGGAGCTTGCCTCCCTCGACTTTCTCATTGCCCATTGTGCCGAAGCTAGTGACAGCAGCTATTGGAAGCTGCGGAAGCTGCGGAAGCCATTGCTCCGCTACAGGTGAAGGGCAAAGGAAAGGACGTGGAAGCACTCTTGAAGTAATACTACCACAATGAAGTACTGACTAGCCTGGGAATATATAACAGCAGTAAAGGCAAGCAGTGGAAAGCTTCGAAACCAGCACTCTATGCTTCCCCCGTTGCTCAGCATGAGCCAGAAGGACAGTCCTAGCTCTCACCATGACCAGTATCGAAGGGATACAGCAGTGGCTTGTCCCGCAGACAATGGTTGTCATATTGTGTAAGCGTAATTACATGTGCGGGTGACAGCGCGGTGACTGGGCCGACAGCGTCGGAAGTCACGCGAGTTCAGAAACTCGGCGAGTTTCAGAACTCAGGTGTTACTGAACAGGGCCTAAGGCAAGTTTCAGACAACAGTCATGCTCAACTGCCAAACAAGCCGCGTTCAAGCCTCTTGTACCGCGAAATTTGAATGCAGTACGACCTGCGTTTTAGGATGGAGTGCTCCGAGCTGGAGTAGTCCACTCTTACACAATCTACGCTTACTCATAGTGCCATGGGGGCCGGTGCCATAACAGAGGTCACAATATTGTATAACGCTTGAGGCAGCGAGAGACAAGGTCAAACAAAGAGATAGATACCCATTAACATCAGATCTGTGGTGCCAGGAGTCCAAGCTTGCCTCCACCCTCGGCGATCAGTTTCTAAGCGGAAGAGCAGCTCACTCCCTGTCGCAGTAATGCATTCATCTCAACAAATCTCAACCACCGTTCCCTTTTGCCACACAGGCTGAAGGCGGAAGGCAGGAGATGGCTCACTGCGTCGGAGCAGGTTCAGTCATACGATCGTGCCTTCCGGCTCAGGCTGATCGGGGCTTCGGATACTCGAGAGAGGCTGTGCCCGAGGCAAAATAAAATTGACCATCCCTAGTATGTAGTAGATCTACAAGATCGGTTGATATTCTGTCTGCCACTCCCGCCTGGGACGCCGATACACCCATCCGGCGCCCTGATGAAACAGCGTCGGGGCTCGCTCAGTTTCCATAAGGCTGTCTTTTGGCGCAGCCTGGGTAGGGAGTAGACCAGCTTTTCTTTCCCCTTTGCGGGGCACAGCGGCCAATACTAGTGAGAACATCCATACATTGACATTAGGTTCTCAACTGAATTGCCCTTACTCTTCGTGCAGATTTATTCGCAACATGTGGCCATTCTCGTCGTCGTGGAAAGAGATTGCGCAGCAGAAAGTCGAGGAGAGGGCCAAGGCTCTCCAAACCGCCCTTCCCGCCTCTCCCGAGCAGTTGGTCTTCCTTGCCGCGCCAGGTGAGTCTTAGTGCCAGCCTGCAATTGAAAAACGCTTACCACGACGTGCTGCGCGTGCTTTTATCAGCCGCAGAAATCGTGCAGCGCATTGCAGCTGGTGAATGGACGGCTTCGGAGGTTCTTGAGGCCTACATCTCCCGCGCAGTCCTAGCCCAGCAAACAATAAACTGTTTAACAGAAGGTAAGCCCGTGAACGCCTTCATTCTCGGGGTCTTTGTCCGGCTGCACTCCGAGGCATCTGACCAACACCAATCTCCCCCTCTTGTCAGTGCTGTTTGAAGAAGCTCGCCAACAAGCACAAGCTCTCGACGACTATGTGCAGGTCACAAAGAAACTCAAGGGCCCCCCACACGGGGTGCCCGTCAGTTTCAAAGACGTCTGTAAGTTTTGTTATTTGGTGGCAGAAAGACGTAAGACCGACACTGACGCTTGCTGTGCACCCGCCGTAGACGACATTGCGGGGCACGATTCATCCATGCGGTACAGCAATCAGGCGCACAAACCAGCCGCGGTGGACGCAGAGGTGAGTAGAGTCATTAAAGGCTGTGACCGGACGTTTTGCGGTATCCGTTGGCCGGTCCAGAGCATTCTCCTGCGAGCTGTTCTGTCCGAGAACAGCTGAACCGACGCATGCCATGGAGCCACCATTCTGAAAACACGTAGTGTCGACATGTCGTCTGTTCTCTTCGCAGCTGGTCAGGCTCGTCCGGGAGGCCGGCGGAATTCCTCTTGCGAAGACCAATGTCCCGCAGACGTTGATGTTTTACGAGTGCGTTAATCCGATGTGGGGCCGAACACTGAACCCATACAGCGCTGACCACACGTCCGGTGGTTCGAGCGTGGCGAGGCTGCGTTGCTCGCTATGGACGGTAGCGTGCTAGGGTGGGGCACCGATCTTGGCGGGAGTCTGAGGTTT